CGGTGGATTCGGTTTAATTTTCCTCAGGTTCAGCTTGAACTTGCATATGAGTAATTGGTGGTCTGTTCCACAATCAGCCCCCCCGGCCTAGTTTTCACAGCTGATATTGAGCACCTCCAGTGGTTTTTCCCACAGATGTTATAGATCTGATTCCTATGTATACCATCAGGTGAAATCCATGTGTATAATCTACATTTATGTCTCTTAAAAAACGTATTTGCCATGAATAAGTCATTGATTGTGCAAAATTCAATCATTCTATCTCCAGCTTCATTTCTTTCACTAAGTCCATGTTTTCCAACTACTGATTCTTCTTCCCTGTTCCCGGAACGCACTGATAAGAGCCCCTTTAAAAGAGGGAAGGGAGCTCTGGGAGCTGCACTGCCAATCTAAAGGCAAGTGGTTTGAATACATCAGGTGTTCCATGGCAGAAAGATGGGCAATCACTTCCTGTGCAATTTACAGCCTCTTTACATCCATGGGAGGGTCAACTATGAGTTGGTATCAACTTATATAAACAGAGCAAGGGAACACTGTGTGGTCTAAAACTAGGAAAGGTGTGCATTAGGGTTGTATCCTTTCTCTATACCTGTTTAACTTGTACTTTGGGCAAATTATTCAAGAAAGCAGACTTTAGGAAAAAAAACACCAAAAAACCTGGGGCATTAGGACTGGAACAATCAATAACCTTCATTATGGGGATGATACAAGTTTGCTTGCTGAAAGTGAGGAGAACTTGTAGCTCTTGCTGTATAAAGTTAAACACTGCAGCCTTCAATATGGATTTCATCTCAACATCAAAAACCCTAAATCCTTGCCACTGGGCTAAAAGGCAACACTGTAATAAACAGAGAAAGGATTGAGACTCTTAATAGCTTCACTTTACTTGGATCCACAATTCATATAGTCTGCACCAGCAGTCACTGGAGATAAGGAGATATATTACACTGGAAAAGTCTGTAGTCAGGGACCTCTTCAAATTAGTGCTAAGTAAGGATGTCAGTTTGAGGACTAAGGAGCACCTGATTCGGGGAATAGTATTTTCAGACACTTGTTATGCATCTAAGAGCTGGACAATGAATAAGGATGACAGAAGAATTGATGCTTTTGAACTGTGGTGTTGGAGAAAAGTGCTGAAGATCCTATACACTGCCAAAAGAACAAAAAGATATGTCTTGGAGTGGGTGCAGTCAGGTGCTCCTTAGAAGCAAAGATAATAAAGCTTCATCTTACACACTCTGGGCAGATCACTGGGAGATGTTATTCCTTGGAGAAGGACATCATGCTTGGGAAGGTGAAGGGGTAGCAAAAAGAAAAGAATAATCAAGTGGGCTGACATGTTGACTGTGTCATTTGATTTAAGTGTGTCAGATATTGTGAGAATGGCATGGCAAAGGACAGTGTTCAGAGCAGTTGCTCATAGGTATGAATCATACTTCTATTGATGGTATCTAACAACAAAGACAGCAATGAGTTGTTGTTTATTGGTATTTTTTTCCTTTTAAAGACGAAAAGCACAAATTACTAAAAGGATTAAATGAGTTGAGGTATATATATATATATATATATATATTTAAAATAGTGCCTGGCACATAGCTAGTAATAAATCCTATTAAATCAATAATTATATCAACATATTCAACTTATAAGATCTCCAATGCTATTTTACCAACCTAGCTCTCACTCTCATCATCAGGCGCCCCAATAACTAGACTTAGATCCATGCTACGAAGGCCTACTAAGTGTATTTCATTAAAAATGTAATTAGTTAAAATGTTTCTGTCCTTCAGAAGATAAGCTTCAAAAAAGCAGTGGTGAATCCTTAATGTATTCCAGTTAACCAGTAACACTATTTTTGATTGGTAAATGAATAATAACATCAATTTTAAGGGTAATACACAAATAGAAGAATTATCTTCATCACTTCCCCTTAACAAAAATAATTTAAGAATATGTTAAATTCAAAGATTTCAATGACAATTTGATATAAAGCAACATTTTGGTTGTACAGTTTTAGGCCACAAATATACTAATAAGAAAACACTAATTTCAAGCATGTCGTCGTTAGGTGCTGTTGAGTAGAAGTCATGGCAACCCCATCCATAAAAAAGAGACTTGAACCCTGTCCTAGCCTGTGTCATCTTCATTATCTCTGATACACTTGGGCCCATTCCTGCCGTCACTATGTCAATCCACCTTGTTGGGAGTCTTCCACTGTTTTATTGACCCTCCACCTTTCCAAGCTTGATGTCTCTCTCCAATGATAGTCTCTTCTAGCAACATGTCCAAAGTATGAGATATGAAGCTTCACCATCCTTGCTTCTAAGAAACACTCTGATTGTACCTTTTCTGAGACATATCTGTTTGTTCTTTTTGGCAGCCCATGAGATAGTCAGTATTCTTCTATAACACTACAACTCAAAGAAATCAATTCTCCTGTCATCTTTAGTTACTGTTCAGTTCTCACAAGCATACCAAGTACCTGAAAAGACCATAGCCTGAATCAGGTGCATTTTAGTCTTTAAACTGATTATTACTGCTCTTGACTACTAATACCAAGGGTGCTGGTTGTGGATTCAAGTAAGATGAAATCATTGACAGTTTCATTCTTTTCTCTGTCTTTTTTCCAGTGGGAAAGACCTTTGTTTTCTTGGTGTTGAGATATAATTCACACTGAAGGTTGTATTTTTTGTTATCCTCTGTAGTAAGTGATCCTTCTCACTTTTAGCAAGTAAGGTTGTATCATTCGCATAATGCAGACTTTTGATGCATCTTCCTCTAATCTGGTGTCACATTCTTCTTCAGAGTCTGGCTTCACAAATTATTTGTTCAGCATAGAGATTGAAAGGGCACACATTTTCAACCATGCAAATTCAGGCATAAGGAACTGTAACTTTCTTTCTGGTGGCCTAGTGGGTAAGTAATTACACTACTAACTCAAAGGCAAGCAGTTTGAATAAACCAGCTGTTCAGAGGGAGAAGGGAAATTTCTTCCTGTGCAACTTGTTATTGTTGCTGGGTGCTGTCGAGTACGACTTTTAGTGATCGACAGATCTGAACCCTGTCCCATCCTGTGCCATCCTCACACTTCCTGACAGAGTTCATTGCGGCACTCACGATGCCAATACACCTGATTGTGGGTCTTCCTGTCTTTTGCTGACACTCCACCTTTCCAAGCATGAATAGTTCTTCACGAACAGTCCTTCTCCATGTAACAGCCTCTCCTGAAATATGTGAGATGAAACTTTATCATCTTTGCCTCTAAGGAGCAATCTGACTGCACTTTTCCCAAAACATAATTGCTTGTTCTTTTGGCAGTTATGTGGGATATTTAGTATTCTTCTCCAGTATCACAGTTCAAAGGCATCAATTCTTCTATCATCCTTATTCACTGTCTAGTTATCAGCTGCATAGCAAGTGATCAGAAAGACTATGGCCTAAAACTAAGATGCACCTTAGTTCTCAAACTAACATCATTGTTCCTCAATAATTTAGAGAGATCTCTGACTGCAGACACAATACATCTTCTGATTTACTGACTGGTGTTGATTGTGAAACAAAGGAAAAAAGAAATTGTTAGTAACTTCAATCTTTTTTCCATCTTTCATGATGTTGCCTATTGGTCCTGCTGTTGGAGGGCCAAACGAGTTCATTCCAACTAAATGGCACAATAATAAACTTGATATATATAAACAGATAAATATCTCTGTCTAAGTTTCTAGTGAAGTAGATAATAGAAGGCTTTCTTTTGATATTTAATGACAAATATAGCCTCTCCAATAAGACTTTTTGGCTCTTATTTGATTATTGTGGCATAAACTAAAGCCCTAGATGTCTTATTTTTGGTCTACTGTAAAAAAAATAAACTATTATCTGGATTGGAAAAAGAAATACTCCTGTGATCTTAACAGGAAATGGATAGTAAGCTAATATTACATTATAACATTATTGCTGTCAAGTCAGAACCAATTCAGAGCTGACTCTCCAAAGGGTTTTTGGAGACTACTCTTACCAAAATTGAAAGATTTACTCCCATCAACTTGATAAACAGTATTCTTGTCAGTTTTCCAGTAAACTTGGGTATCTGCTCCAAGAGCTTCTTCTCTAAAAGAAAAATAGTGAACTTTAGTATAACTGGTCACAAAAATGTTAAAGAAAACATAATTGAAAAGATTATTATCTTCTGAAAAATGTTTTAAAAATAGTGATTTACATACTATGCTAAGAGAAAGCTAGAGACTCCAGTGGCAACCCCCCCTTCACAGGAATCTTGTGAAGTCCTTCATTCTACCCTATCTTCCCACTGAAGTACCTTAACCCTGTGCTACACTATCTTTGAAAGGAAAGATTAAAAATGCAATTGCTTTACATCTCTCCTGCTTAAAATGCTTCTGGGAACTTGAAATCTTTAATATGGCATAAAAGATATGGATCTCATTCCTCTTTCTCTTAAACCTCATTTCCTTGAAATTCCTATAGAAAGTGTAAGTAAGCTCCACAGAAATCCACTTGAAGATCCTTCTAAAATGACAGATCGGCTACCTCTATACCTGGGTTATTCTAGCTTTCCTTTCCACTAAGTTGTATACTTAGTCTTTCATTCATGGACTTTCCTGACATCATCCTTCCATTTCAGACATCTCTTTGATGATTATCTCCCTACCTGCCATCATAAAACTCCTCATAATGTATTGTACTGACTGCTTTAGGTAGCTGTCTTTCTTAAATCTTACTTCTTTCTTACATGAGCTACTTAATGACAGGCTTCTCATTTTTATATTTTCCTTAATAAACCACCCAGTGAGTTCAGTAAAGATTTGCCATACAGAAAATGCAAGTTAGCATTCTGAGGATGAAACTGGAGGAATAAATGAAATTAATTTCCTATCCTTTTCGGCCTTGTTTTTCTTTATAGCACTCATTACCCACATATTACCACACAGCTGTCTGTATTTTTGTTTTTTAACTTTATTTCTCCGTTTTCTCCACGAAAATGTAAGCTTTATAAAGTAGTGATCGTCGTGTCTGCTTAGAACAATGTACTAAAAAACGAGTACTGTACATACTTAGCAAATAAATAAATTAATGAAATCTTTGCCTACTAAAAAAAGAACCTGACAAGATAGGTTAGTCTGTGCCTTTAGGGAATTTACAATAAAGAGGCAAAGGCAGTCAGCTAATCCCAAAATGACTGAAGAGTGACAGAAGGGTCTCAGGATCTGACTTCTCTAGGAAGAGAAGAGTGGCTAGGAGGCTCAGATACAAAAAAGTAAGGATAGCGCAGGGCTTAAGATGATAACTTCAGTGAGCCTGAACCTTGTTTCTTGAAAGTATTTTCCAGGCTCCTAAAGCGGAGTGCTGGTGGCGCTGTCAACACAAAGGCACAAAGTTTGAATCCACCAGCTGCTCCTTGGAAGCTGGGCAATCCCCATGCGATTTCTTGCCTCTGAAAACAGCTATGAGTCTGTTCCAATTGTGGCCCACAACAGGCCCGGCAGTGCTTCCTGGCTTCTTTACAGAGGAGAAAAACCGAGGCACAGACAGGCCTCCGAGGGACAGCTCCGGAGAAAACACTGGAGGACCTGCCGACCAGACGGAACCGAGCAGGGCTGGGGCACCTACCTGCTGTTGAGAGGTCGGACCCGCACGCAGACGGCTACAGCCCCTTCCTCTGCCATTATGCCAAAGCCAGAAGCAGCACCAATCCCCACAGCCAGAAACCTGGCGATCACCCTGAAGCACTAAACTTCCTTCCCAGGCCGCAGGGGCCGCCCCGCCTTTAAGTTTAAATTTTCCCAAATGTCGCGTCTGATTGGTCTGCGTCAGGTGACGCCACAGATCATTCCACAGATCGGCAGGCGTGCAGGGGAGAGCACCACGCTTCACAGGCACCCTGTAGGACAGCTGAATGGTTGAACCCACTGCTTCACAACACCCTGTAAGAGAGCCTGGATTGGCTCCATGGCGTATCTAAACTCTCGTGTAATCTTTACAGTATCCACTGGATAATCTTTCTCCCCTGGAGAGAGTGGTGGGATCCAACCCTCTATGGTTAACGGCCAAATGGCTTAGCCTCAGGATCACCCAAGGGACTTCTGAAGGGTTAAAACTTTGGAGGAGCACAGTTGGAAGGAACAGCGACCCAGACGCCAGAAGTCATCCAAAAAGCAACCTTTTTTTTTTCTTTTAAATTGCATTTTATTTGTTTTTAAAAGAGTGATTGTTTAAAAAAAAATCATTTTGGTCTTGTAGGAAATGACTCATAACTGACCCTTCAAGCAAGTTGTCCAAGGCTGTAAATCACAAGGAGGATATTGCCCAGTTTTCTTCTGTAGACTGACAGTTGTTGTTGTGTGCTGTGATCCTCCAGCAGGTTTTCAGAGGAAGTTAATTACAGGAGGAGATAGCCCATCCTTCAGTGGAGCAGCTGGTGGTTTTGAACCTTGTGCCTACAGGATTGCAGCACATTTTCTTACCATGATGCCATCAGGACTGGGTTATAACTACCAGAAAGGTTTCCCACTGAGTTAGCACAACTCCCTATGGACTGTTGTTAGGTGCCATTCATAGCTGACCCTCCAGAGAATTTTCAGAGCCAGCAAAATCGGACAGGAGGAGATTGCCAATGAGCAGCTAGTGGATTCTAACTACGTAGCTTTGGGATTGCAGGGCAGCTTCTACCCAGTAGGCCAGTTATTTCCTAAAAGCCACCAAACTGCAGACAGCCCTATACCAACACTGTCAACCTTAAAAAAAAACCCTACCCTTCAAAAAGAAAAAGAAATAAAGCAGAGAAACAAAGTAAATTTTCATTAACAAAAGAGAACTGGGACTTTTAAAGACCATGTGGAGAGGAAGGGGGGGGGGGCAAAAACAACAACAACAGAAAAACCAAAACCCAACAATAAATAAAGACAAGGGTTGAAACTTTTACTGTCCAGTCTAGACACTCTTTAGAACCTCTGAGAGTTTGTTTTGTTTTGGTTTGATTTTTCTTGTCTTATTTTTTAAAAAGGACTTAGATGAAAGTTGAGTTTTCATTGATGCACATTTTCCTCCCTTTCCCTTCTCTATTTTTTTTCTTTGCACTTCTTGTTTCAGGTTAATTGTCATACATATAACCCCTAATCATACATTCCTTTCAGACAGTTCTTTCCTCCATCTGTTCCAGTGCAGTGTAATTATCTATCTACTCTTTTCCTGTTTTTACCCCACCTTTCCAATGACAATCCTATTTTATGAGTGATTTTAATCAGTATTTGTCCTTTTGTGACTGAGATATTTTATTCAACATAATATATTCCAGGTTCATATATGTTATGTAGTGACTCACAACAATGTTCATTGTTTTTCAATGCTGTACAATCATAGTTTAGGTCACAAAGTAAACCTCAATAAATTCCAAATGTCAAAATAATATAAAGAATTTTCTCAGACCACAGGGGTACAAAAATGGGCTATCAACAATAAGAGGATAAAGGAGGGAAAAACCCCACACATGTACCTGGAAGCTAAACAACTTTCTGCTTGAATGTGAATGGGTAATTTATTGGGTTTTTTTTGTTATGCACCATTGAGTTGATAAATTGTACTTGCATGGTGTGGGCTGGATAGGGAAGATTGATGTTGAATGGAGTAGGTGGCAGTAGATGTAATTGCTGGTATAGCAGGGAAAGGGTTGTGTCAAAACACACCTGGCAAAGGTGGGGACAACACGGAATCTATTGCTTTTTTTTCTACTACTGGGAAAAAAAATCTTTAATCTGCTCTTCTCTGTAAAATGCTTGTCTGTCAGGTAAAGTTCTAAATGTGAGTAATCAAATTAAGACAGAGTAGGAAGAAGGATTGGCCATCCACTTCTGAAATAGCAGGTTTTTTAAAATCCTAGGTACAACAGAGCACACTTAGACTAGTAAATATGGCAACTGAGGCTGAGCCCTTAAGTATGGAAACACATAGGAGGAGGAACAGCTGTAAGCAGGCACTAGTGATTGGAACATGCAATGTAAGAACCATGAATGTAGGAAAATGGATATTGATAAAAAATAAATGTTGTTGCATAAATATTGACATGCTAGATATTGGTGAAATGAGATGGACTGTCATGGAACATTTTGAGTCAGAAGATCATATGATCTACTATGCTGGAGTCGAAAAGGTGAGGAAAAATGGGTTTGCTTTCATAGTTAAAAGAGTCATTTCTAGATTCATCTTGAAATACAAAGTTGTGAGTGACAGGATCATATCCATATGCATACAAGAAAGTCCACTGAATACCGCTATCATTCAAATATATGCTCCAACAACCAGAGTCAAAGAGGACAAAGTAGAAGATTTCTACCAACTTCTGCAGTCAGAGATTGATCAAATATTCAATCAAGATGCATTAATAATAATGGGTGACTGGAATGGAAAAGTTGGGAATAGAGAAGAAGGATCAGTATTTGGAAAATATGGACTTGGTGACAGAAATGAAGCCAGAGATAGAATAATAGAATTTTGCACAATAATTACTTATTCATTGCAAATACATTCTATAAAAAAACATATACGCAAGCTATACACATGGATTTCACCTGATGGTATGCATAGGAATCACATAGATTACATCTGTGGAAAGAGTCTCTGGAGAAACTCAATATCAGCTGTAAAAACTAGGCCAGGTGCTAATTGTGGAACAGACCACTCATAGGCAAGTTCAAGCTGGAGCTGATAAAAAATGAAATCAACCCCATAGGAACCAAAATTTGACCTTGAGTCTATCCTATCTGAATTTCAAAACCATCTTAGGAACAGGTTTGAGGGCTTGGACATTAATGAGTGAAGACCAGATGAGCTGTGGGAGGATATCAAGAATATCATCCAGGAAGAAAGCAAAAAGTCATTACAAAGACAGAGGAGGAAAAAAAGACCAAGATGGTTTTCAGAATAAACTCTAAATATTGCACTGGAACACTAAGAAGCCAAAGCAAAGGAAAGAAATCAAGATATTAAAATGTTGAACAGAAAATACCAGAGGGCTCACAGGAAGACAAAGTCAATTATTACAATGACATGTACAAGGAACTGGAGTCAGAAAATCAAAAGGGCTGAACTTGTTCAGCATTTCTTAAGCTCAAGGAACAGAAGACCAAATTCAAATCTCAAGTTGCAATACTTAAGGGTGCTTGGGGTAGAATATTAAATGATTCAGGAAGAATTAAAAGAAGATGGAAGGAGTATACAGAGTCATTGTACCAAAAGGAATTAGTGGTCACAGAAGAATTTCATGCAACAACCTATGACCAAGAGACTGTGGTGATGAAGGAAGAAGTTTAAGCTGCTCTGAAAAAATTGGCAAAAAACAAGGCCCTAAAAGGAATTGATGGCATATGGATCGACATATTTCAACAAACAGATGCTGCCCTGGATGTGCTCACCAAGTTGTGCCAAGAAATCTGGAGGACTGCCACCTGGCCAACTGATTGGAAGAGATTTATATTTGTTCTCATTCCAAAGAAAGGTTATCTGACAGAGTGTGGAAATTATTGAACAGTTATTGATATCACATACAAGCAAGATTCTGCAGAAGACTATCCAAAAACGACTGGGACAGCACATCAACAGACAAATGCCTGAAGTGGGTTTAGAAGAGGCTGTGGCACTAGGGATATTATAGCTAATGTCAGATGGATCTTGGCTGAAAGCAGAGAGTACCAGAGGAATGTCTACCTGTGTCTCATTGACTACTCAAAGGCATTTGACTGTGTGGATCATAACAAACTGTGGCTGACTCTGAGAAGAATGGGAATCCCAGAACACTTGATTGTGCTTATGTGAAACCTATACTTGAGCCAGGAGGCAGTGCATGGTTCAAAACTGGGAAGGGTGTGTGCCAAGGATGTGTCCTATCTCCATATCTTTTCAATCTATATGAAGAACAGATTATCCAGGAGGTTGGGTTCTATGAGGAGAAATGTGGCACCAGGATTGGAGGTAGACTCATCAACAATCTGTGTTATGCAGATGATACAACCCTGCTTGCTGAAATTAAGGAGGACCTGAAGTGCTTGCTACAGAAGGTCAAGGATTGCAGCCTTCAAGAAAGATTCTCACTACTGGGCTGATAGACAGCATCATGATAGATGGTGAAGAGATAGAAATTGTTAACAGTTTCCATCTATTTGGCTCTACAATCAACGCTCTTGGTACCAGCAGCCAAAAAATTAAAAGATGGTTTACATTGGGAAAGTCTGCTGTCAGAGACCTCTCCAAAGTACTGAAGAGCAACGATGTCAGTCTGGAGACTAAGGTATGCCTGATCCAGGCCATGGTCTTTGCAATTACTTACTATCCATCAGAAAGTTAAACAATGACTAGGGATGATAGAAGGAGAATTGATGCCTTTGAGCTGTGATGCCAGAGAAGAGTGTCAAATATACCTTGGACTGCTAGGAGAACAAACAAGTTCACCCTGGAGTGGTGAAGCCAAGCTGCTCCTTGGAGGCAAGGATTCTGAAGTGCCGTCTGACATACTTTGGACATGTTGCAAGGCGAATCAGTCTTTGGAGAGGGACGTCATGCTTTGGAGGGTAGAGGGACAGCTCAAGAGAGGAAAACCCTTGATGAGATGGATTGATTCAGTGACTCAGGTAGTGGGGATATGTTGGAGATAATGAGATTATCATGGGATAGAGCG